ATGATTTTAATTTAATTTATTTAAATTTAATTTGATTTAATGAAAATAATAATAATAATAATAATAAAAAGAGTAAAAAAAAAGTTGGTTAGGGATTTAATTGAAATTTTTTTTGGAGAAAATAGGTAAAAATTTGGGTTCTGCGGGTATTTTTGAAAGAAAAATCAGAAATCGGGGGTCAAAACGTAATTTAAAAAAGTTACGCCACGTCAGCTGCACGGTCAGTAGTTCCGACCAACCAGGATGCACCAGGTGGCAGAGACGCTGATGCAGGAGGCAACGCAGGGGGAGCCACGTGGGCGATCCGCGTGCGCACGATCGAACGGCTGAAATCCGTTCCCGTGCGCACGGACTACCCAGATTAAAAATGCGCACGGACGGCCTAAATTGCATCGTGCACGAATGGTTCAGATTGAATCACGCACGGATGACTCATATTGAAACGCGCACGGACAGTCGAGATTAAATTGCGCACGGACGGTCTAGATTGAATCGCGATGAACGACTTAGATTCACTCCATATTTAATCGCTATCGAACGATTCAGATTAAAAGCGATAGACGGTCCAGATCAAAAGCGGATGGGTATAAATAACCTCATCCGCACCCAAACCCTAACCCTAGCCGCCAGAGCCCCTCTCCGAAGAAGACAGCCCAGCCGCTGGGGAGCCGACCGCCACCATCCGCTGCCATATATCGGAGCAATTTCTGACCGCCAAACGAGGTAAAAATTTCTCATCTTGCAAGAAATTTAATTTTCAACCTACCCATGGCCAAATCGGAGTGAAAGAACCGGCCGATTGGCCAAAAATGCCGTCGCGGAGTGTTTCAAAAAAAGTCTCCGATGAGACCCTTCTCGATTCCCATTCGATATGATTTTTCCACCGTTGTAACCACCGTTTCCTTCTCTGCAGGTTGACCGAGGCAAAATATCTAACCGCAACGTAAGCCGGAATCGCCGCATCGAAGAGCTCCACCGCCGATGAGTTTCAATTTTTTGTATTTTTTCGGCCCACCGAGGGCCCTAAGTGTGTTTTCTCACAGGAACTGGTGCAAGTTCGGCTGAATTCGGCCAAAAACGGCTGAAAACAGTCAACCGGATGAGGATCGCCGCTGCGGGCGGAGCCGTCGTGCCGGAATTCTAAAATTGGCCGAGTAGGCCCTGGGTCTGATTTTTGGATTTATTTGGGACACTTGTAGGTACTGTAAGCGCGTTTCAGTTCCCGAAGAAAAATTCAGAGAACCCAGGGACCGCCCGTAGGCGCAGTAACCATCTAGTTTTCGGCGTCAAATTAAGTAAAGACCCCTCACCCTATTTCTTATCATAGATGTGAAGTTTGAATAAATAATAATACGGTATTTTGTATAAATTAAATAAATATGCATAATTAATTACGGATTGCTAATGGAACCCGAACCGGATATTATTATCTGTCAATTCTTGTTTGATTTATTTTACAGTTTAGATGCATTATGGTATCTGGTTTATCTATTCTATGGTTTTAAACGTATGTATCACTATTTACTTCACTACCGTTTGATTTTGGGAATTTAAGATATGATTGCATTGTTGGATGCACGTTACTTGTTTATGTATTTATGTTTGATTTGGTAACGGAGACTAAGGACAAATAGGAATGAGATGTGATCTGATAAATGGATAAGATGACAGCCTCACTAGATATCCTGTGAGATGGTGGACAGACCGGGTTCATAGAGAACTCTACCGTGAATGTTGTCTCATACCGGACATGGTATGGAGACTTGATTATTTGGCGCTTATACCAGACGGGGTATGGGGACGGCCCGCTTCACCCTCATACCGGATGAGGTATTGAGGTTTAATATCTTGGCGCTCATACTAGACGGGGTATGGGGACGGCCCTGGAATTAATATTATTAATGAAAAAGGTTCACATGTAACGGAGACACCCTTATGGATCCCCATGGATACTAGTAGGCTGGTGAAATGAAAAACAGTGATGATTAGTTATTGTTAATGAATATAAATTTATGATATGTTCTATGTTACTGATTGTGCAGGAAGTTATGATCTGTATGATGTTATTGTCTTTATAGGTTGTTTTCGTAGGTTCTCCAAGGGTAAGGAAAAGAGAAAATGGTTTTAATTTTATTGAATGTATTGGTTTAAAATTTGTGCTCCATTGGTTGTTTTTAGTTTTCTACCAACCTTTGCTTCTGTGACAGCGATATATTGTGATGTCCTTACTTGGTTAGTGTAGTTCACCCCTTATTTAACAATTTCATATCAGGAAGACCCGGTTTCCGAGCCCGATCCGCAAGAAGGTTACGAGTAGATGCTAGATACTTCATAGTTTCCTTTATTTTTTTTTTCTATTTTTCGTATTTCTTTCAGAGAATTTGTTCCATGATGTTTGTTAGTATTTTCGAGTTATCGTGTAAGGGATGTTAACCTTAACATTTATTTTGTTTCCGCACTCAAATTATTATATGCATTTCTTTTTAAATTTCCGGGGTCGTTACATTAGCGTCAAAGATGATTATTAAGATGAAAGAGAAAAAGTGTCATAAGTTAAAAAAGAAAAGTGAAATAAGCAAGAGAATTCTGCTAATATAGTTGACATAAATAATTATGATGACAATTTTTTATTAGAAATATTATTGATATAATTATATCTATGGGTTCAAATCATGGAAAAAATTTATAGATTCTTCTAGTACTACATTTTACATGTTTCTAACATAAGTATTAATTTACTATATATAAATAGATAAGTGATATTATATATATGGGTAATGATAATTCATTATCTAAAGACGAGATTGATAACTTCATATTGAGAATGTTTGATGGAGTTATCAGAACTATTAAATGTTAGCATGTTCTTTAGATGAATATCAATTTGATTTCTCTTTTTACGCTGAATTTTCAATGTTATATATACCATGCATAAAATGATATCCTCAAAATGTGTAAAGATTCTATAGTACTCATGAGACAATTTGGAGTCTAAATTATATATTCTTCAAAGCAGTACAGTTATAGAGAAATTTGATAGAACATTAAGGAATGCAATAGTGATCAAAATCATGTTAAGTTATGACATATGCATATAGGTCATATGAGTAACATAAGGTTATTTGCTTTGAGTAAACAGAAATTGTTGAATAGGTATAAAGAGAAAGTCATGGATTTTTATGGACATTGTGTGCTTGAGAAACAAACTAAAATGAAGTTCAACAGAAAGACGGTGTATAAGACTAGAGATAAGTTAGATTATATCAAAACAGAATTCTCTCAAATAATAGTGACAAGTATTTCATGACTCTAATTGATTATTACTCTCAAATAGTTTATGTATAATTTGTAAAGTCAAAAGAATAAATATTTTCAACATTTTTTTTATACGAAAGACCATAATCGATAAATAGATAGAGAGGAAGGTCAAGTGTCTTATAACTGATAATAAGTTAAAAATTTATAATCATGCGTTTAATGAATTTTGCTATAATGAATGCATAATAAGACATCACATTTGTTTAGGAACACCAAAGCATAACGCTATTAGAGAATGCATGAATATGACGTTTGCGATAAAACATGAAGTATATTATTGTATTTTGGTTTGAGATAGGAATTTTGGGATGAAGTTGTGAACACTATTTGTTTCTTAGTTATTAGATCTTCATCCTTAGTTATTTAATACAAAATTCCATTTGATGTATGGTCCAATTCACTTGTTAATTACTTAAGGTTAAGAGTGTTTGGTTATCTTACATATGTTAATTTGATGAATAATAAACTTGAGCCGAAGGCAAATAAATGTCTATTAATATAATATGCATATGGAATGAAAGGTTACTGGCTGTAGTATAACGATCTAAATTATTAGTATAGATATGATATTTAATAAGTCTGCTTCACCATATAATTAGAAGGAAAAAAGTAATAGTGCAATCAAATTACAGCGTTAGAGAATGAATAGAGTTAGAGATTGATACTCTAGTAGTTCAGTCCAATAACTCAAAGAATGAGGTATAATATCTTAATCAAGAAAGTGATAATATATCAGATCAACAATAATAATATAATATTACATCAGATAAGGAGAGAAGACAGATTAAACCACCAAAGAGATACGAAAATCTAGTTGCGTATGTTTTATCAATTGTAAGGACAATTGACTTGTAAGAACTCGGTAGTTCAAGCGCATATCAGTGGGTCGGTACAATAAATAAAAAATTTAATGTCATATATCACATCATTTAACATATTGTATTATAAGATATAGAAGTTGTGCATAAAATACCTACATATGATAATTATACATATATAATAATTAAGCAGATTTTAATTAACAAGTTTAGGCACTGTCTAAACTTAGTTAGAATATATAACACTAAACAGTACCCTATGAGATTATTTTGACAAGATAGTGTGATGAATTGATTACTTTTCTTTGTTGATAGATATAATTCAAGTCAAGAAAAAAAAATTGTTAATGTAACTTGATTATGTGTATATTATTACGGGGAATGTTTTATATATATTTTAAAAAATATTCATGATATATTATGTGAATATTTTGAAAAAAGATCATAATATATTGTCTACGTAAGAGTTTACAATCTTATTGTTGACGTACTTCATTTTATCATAATAATAAAAAATTTCTCGATCTTACCGTATATTTAAACATATTTTTCTAACCACATTGGTATTTTTTTTATTTTACTATTTAATTTGTGTAATGTGTGTATATTGGAGATTTATTTTATCAACATATAATACATATTATAATGTACATACAAATACGTAAGTATGTATACAATATATAATATATTATGTATATAATATTTACTTAAAGACAATATTAAAAGGAAATGCAACTATTTTAAAATGATATATTCTAAATTTCATATTCGGACTTTTGAAAAAGCAGATTCTAGTTTTACACGTCAATAGAAAATAGTTTTAATTTCTCTCCTCTAGTCATTTTCACTGTTAATTTGACACGACGGAAGTTGCAGCGAGTCGGTGCTTGATTCAGTCAAAGAAGATCAAAACTTCCACATTTATATATAAGCGTGTTTGGGGGGGGTGGAGAGGCCAAGACATTCCGGCCATCGAATTTGACCATAGAGTCCGAGAAGAAGCGAAGCATCTCAAGAGAGAAAGTAGGGATTCGGATCATCAATGGAGGATTCACAACGCGAAAAGCCGCTGAGAAAAATTTCAGATTCGTTTAAGGAACTAGCAGCGACTGTGAATTCGGAAGGCGGGGATGTGGAGGTGGCGTTTTTCTCTCGCGCTTGCGCTTTGATTTCGCCTCTATTTGATTGCCTGGGCATTGCTTTCAAGTTCGCTGAAATGGATTACGTGGCTAAGGTATGGTTGTTTCGCGAGAAAACGCGAGGAAAGTTAATTGGAAGTCTTGAGTCATTGATTATCTCTTATCCCTAACCAACACATCCTGGAAAGTGTTTATCCTTTCGAATTAATTTTCTGAAACTGAAATGATTGATTAATTTTCCTCAAATTGGTGGAAAATTCGTAATGTAGAAAGGGAAAGAATTTATTAAGATGTTATATACTGACACTAATCTCTAGCCGGATCGCTGGATTTTTGTGACAATTGATTCAAAAATCCTGAGCTGTCTGCTAAAGGCAAGAAATCGTTTCAATTTAATCTTTGGTGGTTGCAGTGCACCAATAAGACGGACTTTCAATTATCAGCTGGTATTTTAACGTGGCGGATAAAAGTCCTCTCTTCAATGCATGAATCTAATTATCTCAAATTTTTTGTCGTGTCACTATGATGTCCATGCATTTAATTGTTTGTTTTCACTGTTTTGATCGTGTGGTTGATGATAACAGGTTGCTGATCTTGCAGAGGCATCAAAATCTATTTCGACACTGGAAGCTCTGCTTGATCGGGATATTGAAGCAGACTGTGTCAGGAAAGCTGGCAGTCATACGAGAAACCTATTGAGAGTCAAGCGTGGGCTTGATCTGACCAAGGTCCTTTTTGAGCAACTCCTAGCTTCCGAGTAGGTATCCCTAACTGAATAATGTTTATTACTTTGGTCTGTTAAAAAAAATATCAGAGTAGCTTTGGATGCATAGTGCTTTGGAAAATTTCATTTTTGATCTGTTAAGGCCCATGGTCACTGACCTGAGCTTTAACTTTATAAGATGGATTCACTGGTCACCATTTTATTACCAAAATATTTGTTAACGTACTTGGTAGAGTTTGCTAGTGATTCTGGCTGCATGTCATTGATTTCGTTTGTTTGTTTTCATTGAATAGCATGTGATAGTGGTTCTGCGTCCTTTTTCGAGACTATGAATTGCCTTGTTAGCCTCTGCATTCCATTGAATATAGTTTATTATAAGTTTTATTTTCACATCTTAATCTATTATTTGCAATGAAACTTCTATGGTATTTACCTCCTTTGCAAGTATGACTAGACATCTGGTTTAGTCACATACACCGAGTCGTTGGGATTGGAAATGAAACCTTGTATGTCAAAACTGACTGCAGCATTAATGCTTTTATTCTTATGAGATTATCTCAATTTTAGCATGACTACAAATGGCTCCTGGAATTAGCCTGATGAAAATTGATTCTTATGTTGATCTTTTATTTCCATGCACCAGTTTCACCTTGATTAATTTTGCAAGGGTAGAGGATGTTTGGGTTAACTGTTTAAGTGAGCTTCTGGTTAGATGATTGAAATGGGGGTGGAACAGTCCTACAAAACTTTCCCACAATTTATTCCTTAGTCGAAATACAGAGACAATGATGATTTAATCTTTTAACAACACCCTCGGCAATGGTGTTTAGGTGGTGGATCTAATTAGAAATCTCAACAACTGGGAGGTGAATGAATATGTCAATTATTCCAATGATCATCCCAATGTGGAAGACTGAACAAAGTCTTTGGTGTGTCAATTTGGAAGCTTAGTTTGAAAGGATGTTTCTAGTAAAATCCTACCATCTCCACTTATCAAAGAGCAGAAGAATTGATGTGAAATTCTCGTGAAAACTGATCTTGAAGATTAATGTTTCACCTAGAGTAGCCTTCTTTGCTCGGGAAGCAGGAAGGGGATGAATTTTAACTATAGATAATGTGATTAAAGGGGAAAGGTAGTCTGAATGGGTGCTATCTATGTAAGAGAGATTCAGACTTAAGCAATCATTTTCTTCTGTCCTTTTTCTTATCAATTACAGCCAATGGCTTATAGTCTTTTAGGGAGTTAGTTGGGTAATGGCTAAAGCAATAAAAGGGGGCATTGAAGGAATCCACGAGGAGAAGCATTATAGCAAGAATTCAGGCCTTATTTATCTGTCTACCTTATGGGTTATTTAATAGGAAATGAACAACAGGTCTTTTGAGAGTATAGAATCTTCTTTTGATAGGATCAAAGGTATTTGACACTATACCATAAGTTTTTTTTTTTTTTATCAAGGGTCATCTTCTCTATGCTTATAAGGAGCTAGGAGACTTGTATTCTTTAGAAGCCAAATGCTGAAAAGTTTTGCACAAGTAAACGAAAAGCCAAATACTGAAGCACAAGCAAATGAAGTCCTTGTTAATGTAGTTGGAAAAGTATGTTATCTATCCTTGCTGCTTGTGTATGGTCTTGTGTGTGGTTGGCTTGGAAGGTTGAGATGGTGTACAGCGGAACAAATATGTTCATCTGCTTAGGCAAGAAAAAAGTTTCCTCTTACACAGGAATATTTCCGAAATCAGTTATTTGGTCTTCATGCTTGGTGGGTATAGTTGTAAAGTGAAACAATATGGAGTCAGTTTGATGTTTTATCTCAAAACAAGGAGTCAGTTTGATGGACATGCAATCTAAATTAGAAAGCTGAAATAAGTTATTTGGTCTTTTCTGTATGGCAGAGGAAACTCCCTAAAGGATGCAGCTTCGAATGCTTACGCACAGGTGTTTTGTCCCTACCATGGCTGGGCTCTCAGGAAAGCTGTTGCGGCAGGGATGTTTGCCCTTCCAACAAGGGTGGAGCTAATGAAGAAGCTTAACGAAGACGGTTAGTATCTGCGCCCCTGTCTATACTTTTAGTGATATACTAAAAACCCTCTTTTGTCAGCATTCAAACTAAAATTGTTTGTTTCTTTGGGCATTACTTTTGGTTGGTTAAAATGTATGTTTGACGGGTCGATCTCAGGCATCTCAGGTTTAAACATCTTATGGGGGCTCAAATTGAGTTACTATATTAACTATTTTTCGTTTTGGGGCTTTTGAAAACCCTTAATTGGAAAAAAGAAAAAAACATAAACAAGAAGGCCGAAGGCTTTAGAAAAAGTATTTCTTGTACTTATTTTTTCTTTTTATATAGTTGTATATACTAATTGGATTTTTGGCTTTCAGAGGCCTCAGCGAGCAATCAGATGCAAATTTATGTTGCTTCGGCAGCTCCAGTCATAGCGTACATTGAGAAACTCTTCCATTCCAGACAACTGGGTATTGATTGGTGATTGTTAACGGGCTAATAGTAATAATAATAATCAATTTATGTAACTCGAAGTTATTCGTAGGCTGCGCTGCACTATTTTTATTGAACTTACATCTCGTAAGATTCTATTAAGGATTCATGTATTTAAAAACGTTGCTGCTGTGATCTGGATTAATAATAGTTATTGAATAAATTAGTGAGAATTAGCAGTTTTTGCCCGTTGGGTACTTGTTTTATTTCTTACCAGTTTTGCTTTCTCCGAAATCGTTAGAATCATACCGATGTTCTGGACGCAGGCCGGTTTT